GAATGGCTCAAACACATTTATCCTATGTGGTATCGAACTGACCTCAACAAATATCCAACTGGATTGTATGCACATAAAGTGTGACACTATCGAAATAATGTTTAAAAGATTTAAAGATAAATTAATAAAATAAGAAATCGACAATTGACTGCAAACTTTATTAACAACACGATATACAATAACTTAAATTATGGTGTTATCACATTGTGATAATTGTGGTTGAAGGGGTGTTGGTGGCGGCCATTCTCTGGGGCAAGGGGATTTGATAACATATGCCGTATTGTAACAGATTAAAAGAGGAAAGAACAGATATATAAACAATTATTTGAGTGTAGTGTATATGCTCTCAAAATACTAAAATTTTATATTAACGACTCCACTATGTGGATCATTAACATAAAATTTGGGGGTGGATTGTGACGCCTCATAATTATTATTAATAAATAATAATTAAATTCATTATACAGACATTTAAAAATGTCATAGAAATTATAATTTAAACAATAAAATGCAAATAATAAGCATAGAGTTCAAAAATATCCATTTGGAATATTGAATATTATATATATTAGTAAACGCATAAAATGTCTCTAAAAATCTCTAAATTTATTAAAAACCTGCTTAAAATGTTCAAAATGTATCAAATCATATAAATACAAGGCGATTATATTGCAATAACAAAGATAAATAACATTTGTAATATAATAGAAAAAATGGATTAAAATTTTCTAAGTTGATGAAGGTGTTCGTGTAATAATTGGAAAATTTCTAAGTTAATGAACGTGTTCTTGTAATGTTCCCTTATATTGGGGCGTTGTCGGAGACACATACCCAAGGTTGTACATATATATGGGGTGGTCGGCTGACCGACTGCTAGTACTAAGGTTGCACAATGACTAGTCCTATATTAGGGACTTAACATAGTAAGGTCTGACGAACCAAAGCATTAATATAGAAGGTCTCTATGATGCATAAGCATTATGATAGCAGAGTTATGACTTGAAGTCCCATATGAATAAGACATACAGTAGTATGGTCTATGAAATAAAGCAAATATGTGGAAGGTCTCAAATATGTAAAAGCATTATATTGAAAGAAATGGGACTTGAAAAGGATTATTATAGTGGCGTGTAGGTTGCTTCGCAGCCTCTGAGACCGAGGTAAACTTGGACTCACTAACCGATGTGTCCTAGACATATCATCTTAGTGCCGGTGGTAAGCGGGTTTGTTGTAGCAATACGACTTGCCCGTGGACATCGCACACCCCTACCGGTTGTGGGCGGCGTCTTAGCGCATAGCGTTATGATACGTCGGCTATCTTTCGGATTAGGGTGAGTGTGTTTGGTAGTACTTTTAAGTGCAGCAAGCATACTCAACTTCATGTCTTAGTGCAATAGCGCTATGATACGTGGAGTTTTGGCTACTGACGTCTTAGTACCGTACTACTATGATACGTCGGTGGTATTTTTAGTTAACAACATTATCAAATTTTGTTACCAAAGTCGATAGGGATCATGTGGGTGTGTTGTGAGGGGGCGCCATCCGTATGATAGTTGCATTGATGCTTACTGCTACTTGCAGTATTGCGTCTTGTGATCGATCTGCGGGTGTACTGCACCTGATTCGATGCATCTTGTGGTTCTGGTCGATGGAGGTATGCGGGTGGTGATGTCTGCTGGGACTGTATGGGGGACCTTGGGATGGTGTAAGCCCGACGATAGTCGTATTGATGCTTGTTGCATTCTGTAGCATTGCGTCTCTACGATGGTTGTTTGGCGGGTCGCTATTCTCAATGGCGCTCTCTGCGTCTTGGTTTGACTCACAACCTAAGTAGCTTTGCCCAAGTCGGGTCCCTTCATTGCGGGGCTGCAGACTGTCTGCCCTCCATGATGTTTTATATAACAACTTAATAATATATCTCTATAAAGTTCCCACCTTTGAGAGATTGAAGGCAACTTGTTGGTGGGTGAGACAAACATGATCGAAAAATGCATATACTCAACGTCAGAGACACAAACCCTTTCTGATGGCGAATTATTAATATTATCTTATAACTGCCTATTGGCTATATCTGCCATTGTATTGGTTGGTGGAGCATATGTGTTGACCTCATGCGGGTGGTAGCTGGAGGGAGAATCTGAGGAGGCTCTCAAGGCTGCGGCCGAAAGCCGCGCAACGTGGGACCCCATTCCCTTGAGGTGAGCGGTAGACTCATGACACGCTCTGCGGCCAATTGGCCGTGCTGACCATGCAATTGGTGGTGATGCCTTACACTTACATCACGTCTGCAGGAACGGCGGTCTGGCAGGTGGTGGCGCTCACGGAAGGCTTTTTATGGTTAGTGTGCCTATTGTTGCCTAACCCGTGTGACGTACATTCACTGTGGCTGGATTTGATCGTATTCTGTATGGCGTTTACACGCATTGACATGCGCGACTTCGGTCGATGTTTGTGCTTACGCACTGTCAAGGGGCCAAGTCCTCTTTTACTGGTTCGCCAGTTATTTTGCTGTGGACTACGGTCCAGTTCCCAACTTTGCGTACCCTTCGGGGGGAGTGCATTAAAATGGTTGGCGCTCACCGTGCGCGGCGTGTGTGGGGCCGTGTACCTCCTCCACATTTTTTTTAAAATGTGGGAGAGCGAAGCCCTTGTAACTGGTATTTGATATAAATATTGTGAGCCTTTTCCAAGCGGGAAGGGACTAATTAATAAGGAATTGACTGTTGTGAACCAGATACAAGTGGAATAGGGACAATTTATTGTTCTTAACCTTTTTGAGCTCTGTCTTCGTGAACGGAGTTCTTTAGCTTATAAGACTCTACCAACAGCTTTTGATTGCTCTCGTGAATATTCATTCTTCCAAGATACACCTAAAAGAACTAAGTTACTATACAAACACAACGTAAAGAAGGGTCCTAACTAAGACGATCACGCCATAAATTTATTAAACGGCCTATATTTAAACCTTTAGAAAGATCAAGTTATACTGGTCACGTAAATTAGATATATTTATATATCTTACAGATATAGATTCTAAAGAAATACAAGTATAAGTGGATATATAGTAGAAAAGAAAAAAGATGGGGGGGGGGGGTTCGTTACAATATGCAGGAGAAACAGCGTTGGTGATAGCACGTAGCCTTGTGGAACACCAGCGTTGATAGGTTTGCAATCAGAGCATGCACTGTCTACTACAACCTTGATGCTCTGATCAGCAAGGAAGGGTGATCCATTTGTACAATTTCTCGGGACGCCCTTATGAAGGAATCTTCGAAAGAAGCGCTTTGTGCCAGACCCGATCGAAGGTCTTCGCTATGTCCAAACTAACGGCCAATGTCTTCCACTTGGAGTTTACTGCCTCCGCCCATCTATGAGTCAGGTAGAACAGAAGATCACCAGCTGATTGACCCTGACGAAAGCCGTACTGGCGGTCACTAATCAGCGGGTGATCCTCAAGGTACCTCATGAGCTGGCAGTTTATAAGGGATTCCATTATTTTGGAGAACAAGGAGGTGATGGCGATAGGCCTGTGGTAGGACGGGTCTGAGCGGTCGCCTTTTTTAGGGATCGGGTGGACCAAAGCTATCTTCCTTGAATTTGGGACTAAGCCTTGGGAGTAGGAGTACCGGAAAAGACGCGTTAAAACCGGTGCCAACTCCGGAGCACACGTCTTCAGCACAATGGGAGGGACTCCATCAGGCTCACTCGACTTGCTGACGTCCAGGGAGAAGAGTGCTTTACGAACCGAGCGCTGTGTAAATCGCAGCATGAGCACTCACACCACGGGATGGTCGGCGCTGTGTTTCCCCCGTCATGTAGAGTTGATTTGGACGCAAAGAGAGAGCTTAAAAGATCGGCTTTCTCCTTTGCGGCATGGGCCAGTGAGTCGTCCTCTCTGTGCAGAGATGGAAGAGATGGCTCACAGAAGTTCAGCCTTGGCGAGAGACCAGAATGCACGGGTTCCCGAAGGAAGGCGAACTAGCTTCTCGCCAATTCTGCCGATGTTCTCAGACCTTTCCTTGGCAATGACGCTTTTGAAGAACCTGGAGGCGGAATTATACTTCTTTTTAAGTGCACTGGTGTTTACATCCCGAGATATTGATGCGTTAGCCCAGGCCCGATAGCACTCCAGCTTATACCGTGATGCTATTTTATAGGAGCGACCAAACCATGGCTGGGCCAAACCAATCTGCCTCCGATGGGCACCACAGAGGATGGAATAAAAAGTTCCATACCCTGAAGTACCACATCAGCAACAGAATCAGCAACAATGCTGGGATCTTCCGGCGAGAATCAAACCCGCCCCCAAGGGTAGGTTGCAAAAAAAATACCGCATCCCGTCCCAATCGGCCGACCTATAGTGCCAAACACGGCGGCAAGCTTCAGATCGCAACTGCGATGGGAGCGTGAGTGGCACCGTACTCCGGATCAGACAATGGTCCGAAGAGCCCAGAGGGGCATCGACGGAGACCTGATATCCGTCCGGATGAGAGGTCAGCAGAAGGTCCAACAGTGGAAGGTACATGAGCACGTATGCGTAGGTATATGGATTTAAAGGAAGCGAGAGATATGTGTCAGGATCATATATGTACCAAATTAAAGTACGTTGTCTCTGCCAACCCCTCGGGGTGACAGGCGTTAGTGTTTATATATGTATGTATGTAAAACCATTACTTAATGCCCTCGTCTCCTGATAAGCATAACTACAAAAGGAAGGAAAGTTAGAAGTACCATCGATTTATATCTGTTGCTTTGATCACATACACGCAAGATTCCTTATTTATACACTTTCGGTCATATCAGTCTTTACGAATGTCGGTGGCGTTTTGTCATTTAATTATCAACTAAATGTATCACAAATGTGATAGATTAGGGTTTTTTGGAGTTTATCATTATAATCGAAGTTCTCAATCAAATTCAGTAATTAATAAGATATAAAATCGTACATAAAAAGCGTAGCATTTAGATTTATCAATATACGTTTTCGGCGGTGGAACAAAATGGCTTTCCAAATTGGGGTTTTGTTGGCAACGCTGCTCGTTGGGAGCTTAGGTGAGTTTTAGAAAATTAAGTTTAACATTTTAAAGTAAAATTTATATGAATTTGAGATCAACACGATATACATAAGCATTATCACACTATTTCCTACACGTCCCGGGATGACTGGAAGAGAATGCCAAAAGTCATTACTCTTTTTTTATAGGATTAGGGACTAAGATGGAATGCCTCGTTTCCAGTAAAAGGGGTCTCCGGTTCTACACTCACCATTCTAAACACAGCAGCGTTAAGCTGCTAGTTTACGCTGGTAATCTGTGGGAGCGTGGTCCTTCCCCGGTCGAGCCGACCCATTCGTGGTACAACTATATCATTAATATAGTTACAGCATGGCACTACCATGTGTGAAAAAAGTCTGCCTTTTGTAATTCTATTTACCTAGATGTACAATAAAGCGCAAATAAATAAATATTAAGCATTACTGATAAAACCATTTTCCATTTCATATGTGTATTTTCAAACAGTGTACATTAATATAAGGTGGTAGAACTCCCTTTTTGCCTCAACTGAGACTAGCCATCAGCAGAACAGGATCATATTCTGATGGGACGACAATCCGACTCGACCGGAGGAGATCAATCGCAGGACTAACGGCTTTACGTGCATTCTGAGCGACTGGGGTGAAAACACTGTCAAATTCCTGACTCCGAGCTGCTACCGAGAATTTCTTGACAAAACCAAACTTGTAAAATCCCATCTACTAACTGCTATTTACTTATTTTGGCCCGATCCGGATTCGAACTCTGAACCAGGTGTTCAGCAATCGCACTTACGACCACTAAATCAACGAGGCAGACATTATCGTATTTAATTAAATAAAATTTATTATGGTATTTAATATATTATGTAGGTATTATGAATTTAGAAAATATTATAAGACTCATAAAATATTATGGTATTTAATACTTGGACTTAGACTCATAATTTTTAAAGTAACTTTATTGTCCTATCCAACCACATTTTCTTTTCTGTTGTGTTTGTATTTATTTGTTTATAACGCTGGATAATAAATATCTGAAATAAATAAATAATTAATAAATATGTATTTAGAAAATTATCTTTAGTTTATATCCAATCTTACATGCCGTATGTACCTAATTATTACACAATAAGCAACTTCAGCAGTTTTAGGTCCATTGCTGTTTCTTTCTGGACATAGACCAAATCAAGTGCGTGAAGACAATACACATGTAAGACTAGTACGTCCTAAGCTACTGATACTTTTTTAAATTAGAAGATTCAGGGACCTTCAAGAAAAGAGCTTACTCCTTTTAAAAGGCCGTCAACGCACCTGCATTTCCTCTATTCTTGCGCGTAGGTGAGCCACATAGTGGGTGTCGTAATAGGCGACTGAGGGAAATGAAAGAGATGGCAACATCTTCTTGATAACAACTGAAAGTAATAAAAAACGGAGGTTGGCAACCCGCCTGCCAATCGTGGCAATTATGGCGAGTATCACACCTGTGAGGCAATCTATGGGGGAGTCTGATGTTGTGTACACTACACAACATTTTAATAAGCTGTATTGAATAAATAAATGAATTGGCCGCATGCTCCTGTGCCTTTTCTTCTTGAAATAAACAAGCGGTAAAATTAAAAACTTTGTACAATTGACTTCAATATAAATAAAATGAGAACATCATCAATGTATTTGAAGTCGATTTAATTCGCATTATAACTGAAAAAATACTGGTCAGATATTGATCAAATTTATAAAGGACCACATGAGAAGCATCAGCTTACAAATAAAAGAAAGAATCATCAAAATCGAATCTCCTAGAAAAAAGTTCTGAGGTAACACACATAAAAAATTACAGTCGAATTGAGAACCTTTTTTTGAAGTCGGTTGATAAAGAAGAGTATCTCAGTGATTGGAGTTGACCAGAACGAAGTTGATGTAATTAAATTCTGGCTGTAATCAAAGGATAAATGAAAGAAAGGAGTCACTGTGATTAAACTTGAATACTGAAACTTTAATGTAATAAAATTCTTTTATCTATAACAGCGCTTCCTACACCCAAGGATGACTTCTCCAGCTTTTTCATCCATACGGACCCCAACGCCCGCATCGTGGGTGGAAGCCCAGCCGCCGAAGACAGTGTGCCCTACATGGTGGCCATGTCCAGTGGACGGACTGTGAAAAGTTTCATATGCGGGGGTTCCCTGATCAGCACAAGACATGTTCTAACTGCCGCTCATTGTATCGGAGCTGTATATTCTTTAGGTTCCCTCAGCAGGTACATGCTTTTTACCGTTTGATTTTTTTTACATAACATACATACTTAAACAATCACGCTCGTTATCTAAAGGAGTAGGCAGATACTACGACACCTCTCTCACCTCCTTTACACCTATATACCATGTTCGGCGATTAAGGGTAGGTTTTAATTTGGCCCATCTTCAATATATCGCCAATTGGTTCGATAAACTTCCGTCTAGAGCGGCTCCTTGCCGGCTCTGCCGTTCACTTCTGCAACATAAATTTTCTTTGTCACTCTTTCCTCATTCATTCTTTTTTTTATTACCTTTTTTATTTTTATTATTACCTTTTTTATTACATTGCTTTCTTAATACTGGTTACAACACTATCTTGCAAATCACACTTTTCTCTTATAACAAAAGTTATCACACTGTCGTTCAGATTCAGCCTTATTATAACATAATTCTTAATGTTCGCATTATTACAGCATATATTCTACTCTCGTGCTTCTTCTGTTGCAACCAATTTTTGCCACACCCAATGTTTGCTTATTTGTGTAGATTTTATGCGTATAATATAAACAGAATTGCTTCAATTCATAAATATATTATATTATTCAAACTGATTGGCAAAATATAAGACTATTTTTTTTATAGAATAAGATGACCAACGAACACACAGTCCACCTGATGGTAAGTGGATAGTGTTGCCCATAGATATTTACATTTATCCTCGATTAAGAATCAATATGCAGATGCGTTGTCATCCCTGAGGACTACGATGGAACGCCTTATACCTAGTAAAAAGTGTTACCATACGAAACACAACAGCATTAAGATGTGTTTTGTCTTTGCCTTTATGATCCACGCATATTTATTAAAAGACTGAATCTTTCACTTTTTAAGATTGAACCTAAACCATTTTGCTAAACATGCGTTACCGGACTAAAAAAACATTACAATGTTTCAGTTCGCTTCGGGTAACAGTTGGCACCAACCGCTGGAATAAGGGGGGCGCATCCTATAGCGTTTCCCGTAACATAACCCACCCCAACTACTTGGTGTCCACTATCAAGAATGACGTCGGGGTGCTGGTCGTCTCCTCCGACGTGGCACTTTCAAACACTGTGCAACCTGTGCCTTTGAGCTCCGATTATATTGGTGAAGGTGTTTCAGCTAAAGCCGCTGGATGGGGAAGAGTAAGAGTAAGTAAAAATTCATATTAAAAAAAAAAAGAAAACCATTTATTTACAAAATGCAGGAGTATACAAGTTTGATTGTGAATGTATTCTCTCTTACATCCATTTAATCCATCTATTTCAGCCTATAAAAGTCCACTGCTCACATAGGCCTCTCCCATAGATTGGCTCATTCGAGGATTATGCTATAGTTGCCACGCTGGCAACTGGCAAGTGGGTTGCCAACTGCATTTTTTATTGTTTTGCGTTATAATTTGGAAGATGCTGCTGCATACCCTGCATGACATTTAAACGTTGGAGATGGTGTTTGTTTAGTCTAGACAGAGTTAATAATATAATAAATAATTTTATTATTATTATTATATAATAAATAGCGCTTTACGAAATTAAGTGCATATCATTGTATTTTGTTATTAGGAAAAGGAAATAGGCATTTTAGTCAAATTTAGTACGTACATACTCAATGCACCCCACAGCAAGTGTTCTCAACGAGTACGCCCATGCGTTTGAATCGAGATAGGTCAGCCAGCCCCCAAAATTGGTGCAAGTGTTGTGGCCAATGCTATTTTGTTGATTCACATATCGGGTGAATTGAGGCAGCGTTGGAGCCGTGGAACGGACCTAAGGAAACTTGCATGTACAAGAAATGTACTTTAACAAAAATGAGAGCAGATCGTCATCTCATACTCATGTACTTTTATTATCCCTACTATGTTAGTGGCCTATGTCCAATTTAGTGTTAAAGACGAAGAAACAGAAACAAAAACAGGAACTTTTAACCACGCTGCAGCTATATTATGGTTGTAGCACGAATGTGTTGCGTCGACCGGGGTAGGACCACGCTCTCTCAGGATACCAACATAAAATAGCAGCGTAATGCTGCTGTTTCGTTTGGTGAGTCTAAAGATATCTAAATCTATCCTCGATTAATAATCAAAATACAGACGTGTTGTCTTCCCTGAGGACTGAGATGGAAAGCCTCGTATCCGGTAAAACGGGTCTCCGGTTCTCTACACTCACTGTAAGAAACAGATATTCTTTCCCGATCAAGCCGACCCATTCGTGCTACAATCACAATATAGCAGTAAAATGGCTTTAAACTCTTTCTCTATTTGGTAAACTAAGTAGAGACTTATGATTTACAGCAAAATGGAGCTCTCTCGTCCGTTTTACTAGAGCTGTTCGTTACGACAATTAGCGGGCAGCGTTGCCAGGAAGACGTGGCACGCCGTGGTTCGGAGCTGAACATGCGGGTGCCTCCGGTGGAGCCTCACATCGAACTATGCGTGTTCCACTCAGCTGGACACGGCATGTGCAATGTAAGTATTCATTCATACATGCAAACACTCTTCAATGATTCATTAACCCATTCATTAATTTGGTTATTTTTCACTCACTCATTCATTCATCCATTCATTCCTTTTAACCTATTTAGGATTGCCTCGGGATAATGGTCGTAAACTAGCTTACCATGTGGTCCAGAGTTCGAATCCCATTGAATCGATCAGTTATAGGATTTTTCTGTCAACAAATTCTCAATAGAAGCATAGAGTCAGGAAATTGGTAGAGTTTACTCCCGTACCTCGGAAAGTAAATAATCCTGTGGGTTCTGTGCCTGATTTCTCTCTGTTTGTGTCCGATTCCCATCCCATTAGACAATGAGAGTGAGGGAAAAGAGAGTGCATCTGTGTTTCCTGTGCTGTGTAGGTTGCTGCCGTGACAAAATTTGGTCAAGACGCGAGAGGCACATTACAGCCTATAAAAACTCCTCCGCTGAACATAAGTCTCCACCATGGCTTAGTTCATAGTGGGATATTTGTCACAGTACCCACGCTTGAGAGTTGGATTGGCAACTACAGATTTTTCTTAATAAGTTTTTATCAGGAAGTTATTGTTGCTCATCTTCTGTTGTATCAACTGACTTAAGAAAAGGAGGAGGTGCTTAATTAGACTATTTATTAATGTATTATATGTCGGTAGATTTAAAATCTCTATCGCCCACTATTTCAAGTGTACAATTGAAGGACTTAAGGCATTTTAGGTATTCTCTAACACTCAACGACGAATTAAATAGAGAAACTCATTGAATAAAACAATTTTTACCGATTTTATCGCGTTTAACTTTACTTTTTTTTCTACCGACTTCAAACATGAGGAGGTAGTCAATTCAACTGTATGTTTTTTTTTAAGTGTGTTACCTCATAACATCTTTCTGGGTGAACTGATTTTTATGATTCTTTTTTTATTTGAAAGCTGGTGCTTCTCATGTCCTCTCATCTCAGGGGTACCTCGTTTAAAGCCGGGGCGGCATCAGAGGCAGCTGAACTGAGTAAGTGGCGCAAATATGAGTCTCTGAGAGATGACTACATATTTGTGCCATTTGCTGTAGAGACTATCGGTCCGTGGGGTCCACGTGCGGTGAAGTTCCTAAAGGAACTCCATCCGCGGCTGGTCGTTGCTGCTGGTGATAAGAGGGCTGGTTCTTTCCTCGCTCAAAGGCTAAGTATAGCCATTCAGCGGGGAAACGCAGCCAGCGTTCTTGGCACGATACCGCGGGGAGTTGGACTATATGATAATTAAGTTTCTAGTTTTAGTTTTTTTTTATTATCATATTATCATAGTTTTTAATATTGTTTTAATTTAATAAAGCCAAAAATGATCTATGAGAAAAAAATTATCCTTAATAATGTGTATTTAATGACTTCGACTCTTAGACCATTTAACCATTTATTCTAAGCTTCTAAGCTTCGACTACATTGATGATGTTCTCATTTTATTTACATTGAAGTCAGTTGTACAAATTTTTTTATCTTACTATTTGTTTCCCTCCGTCGCCTCTTAAGACACTCAGGGAATGATAGTTAGTGGATTCTTTTGATAGAACTTTTTTTTTACTTCATTAGTCTTTTAAAGTCCACTGTTGGACGAGGACCTTCCTCGATGTAGAGAGGATTGGTGCTTCCATGTCTCGCACGTTTCATGCTGCGGTCTGTCTCCAGTCTGGGTATTCCACGTCTGGCGTATACTAGATAAAACCGTCAGATGAAGCTATAAGATTGTTCTGATATTTCCCATACGGTGATGGATTTTCTTACGCCAATACCAGACGGTCATTGCTGTGGTTGAAATTTGCCATCAAGTGTTTTTTTTTAATAGAGTAAGGGTAACAAACGAGCACACAGTCCACCTGTTGGTAAGTGGATACTTTGACCTATAGACATCTATATTTATTCTTGATTAAGAATCAACACGCAGATGCATTGTCGCTCTGAGGACTAAGATTGGATGCCTTGTATCCAGTAAAAAGGTTCTCTGATTCTCAACACTCATCATACGAAACACAGCAGGATTAAGTTTCTATGTTACGCTGATTTTCCGTGAACGCGTGGTCTTCCCTGGTCGAGTCCACCCATTTGTGATACAATCATAATATATGTAGTTGCAGCGTGGTACAACCATAATATAGTTGCAGCATGGCGTTACCACGTATAAGTGCGTCATTTTCAAAGCTTTATTGTTTTTCAGGGTGACAGTGGTAGTGCACTGGTGCATGCAGACAACGGTCAGCAGATTGGTATAGTGTCGTGGGGATTACCATGCGCCCGTGGAGCCCCCGACATGTTCGTACGTGTCAGCGCTTACAGGGACTGGATCATGCAAGCTATTTCATAAAATACCACAGAGATTCTGTTTAGATGTACTCGTATGCAAATATTTGAAAATAACGGAAAGATAAGAATTTAATATAACTGTAATATAAAATACTTTTGGTTTAATTTTTAATGAGCAGGCATCTAATCGTAGCCCTACTGTACAAACACTTCAACACTTCAATATACCGACAGTCACCGCTGAAGGGACTGCAGCACCGCTCAAATTTCTACGGAATCCAACTGCACAGAGGTGTAAGACAGGGTGACGTTTTATCCCTGAAAGTCTTCACCGCTGCATTGGAAGACGTTTTCAAGCTACTGGACTGGAAAGGATACGGTATTAACATCAATGGCGAGTACATCACTCACCTTCGATTTTCCGACGATATAGTCCTTATGGCAGAAACGCTGGAGGACCTAAGCACTATGCTCAATGACCTCAATAGTGCCTCCCAACGGATAGGTCTTAAGATGAACATGGATAAAACAAAGAAATCATGTATAACGTCCATGTCAAGCCTATGTCGGTAGTTGTTAGGGGCACTAAGCTCGAAGTTGTTTACGAGTATGTTTACCTGGGACAAATAGTCCGACTAGGTAAGTCCAACTTCGCCCGAGAGGTCAATCGACGGATTCAACTCGGTTGGACAGCGTTCGAGAAATTACGGCACATCTTCTCGCCAGGTATACCTCAAAACTTGAAAACGAGACTGTACAACCAGTGCGTGTTGCCAGTGATGACCTATGGATCTGAGACGTGGTCCTTCACTGCTGGCCGTATGAAGAAGCTCAAGATCGCTCGGCGAGCTATGGAGAGGGATATGCTCGGGGTTTCTTTACGCGATAAATTTAAAAATGAGGATATCTGCAGTAGAACCAGAGTAACTGATATAGCCCAACGGATTAGTAAGCTGAAGTGGCAATGGGCCGGCCACATAGCTCGAAGAACTGACAACCGATGGGGAAAATAGGTTCTTGAGTGACAGCCTCGTACCAGCAGGCGAAGTGTAGGGCGACCCCCCATTAGACGGGTGACGAGCTGGTAAGACATGCAGGAAGTCGATGGACCGGTCGATGGCTCAGGACCGTGCTTTGTGGCATTCCTTGGGGGAGGCTTATGTTCAGCAGTGGACTTATGGAAGGCTGTAATGATGATGATGATGAGGCATCTACTTAATAATTCTTTTTTCGGGTTCCGTACCCAAAGGGTAACCAACGGCACCCTATTACTAAGCCTTAGTTGTCCATTCGTCTGTTTGTCTGTCAGCGGGCTGTATCTCATGAGCCGTAATAGGTAGACAGTTGAAATTTTCACAGAATGTGTATTTTTCTGTTGTCGCTATATCAACAAATAATAAAATGTAAATTAAAAATTAAAGGGGGCTCCCCTACAAGAAACGTGTTTTACGATGGTAGCGAACTCTTCATGCGCGAGTTCGACTCGCACTTGGCCGGCTTTTTTATTTTATTTTAATATCCTTACCTCTACACTAGAATTTTCTTATGTATCGTGGGGGGCAATCATCCAGATCGGAAAATTATTTGAAGAACACATACTCGAGCAGCAGCACAGAGCTTATTGGAGTTCATAACGGAAAATGGCTTGCGCCAATGTAACACTATTCTTAATAAAAGGCAAAAGATACTAGATCTTGTACTCGTAGACTTACCTGTATGTTCTGTTAGTTACTCTTATAATGCAATCAGTAATATTGACCCAATGCATCCTCCCCTTGAAATAAACATACCTAATGTGAGACAAAATATACTTATGATTAATACTTACATGTTTTATAAAGCCATATAATTTTTATAAAGCCGATTATAATTCTATAAATGAGTACTTGAAGGGAATCGACTAGCATACATTATTGGACCTGGATGATATAGATGAAATGGTTAGAGTATTCTACGAGAGTATACAAATTGCTATCACAGACTATGTTCCCTTAAAAAAAGCTAAGAGTAATAGGTACCCTTCATGGATCCATCAGAATGTTGCGAAAAGAATTAAAGAAAAGCACAAAATGCTAAAATGATTTAAAAAATATAATAATCCAATGGATGAAATAGAACTAAGAGTGCTTAGTGATCGTTGTAATAGAATTACGTGTGATGCTTACAACAATTATAACGAAATCTTGGAAAAGCAAATTCAGAAGAATCCGAAAGCATTTTGGACGTTCCTAAAGAGTAAACGCAATAATTCTAACTCGTATCCAGCTGCTATGAATAACGGAGTTAAAACTCCTACTAGCGGAGTTGAAATATGCAATATGTTCTCTAGTTATTTTGCTTCGGTATATGATGATTCAAATAGTTACTGTCGCTTAGATCCGTCATCTCATTTACGAAAAATCCTCTATTTAGGCTTTAGTGAAAATCTAGCAGGTATAGAAATAAATCAGAATGAAATCCTCAAAAAGTTGAAGGGTCTCGATATAAGCTAAGGTGCAGGACCGGACAATTTACCTCCGGTATTTATAAAAATAGCGCAACTAACCTAACTTTGCCTTTATATCTTATCTTTAAAGCCTCGTTGTGTTCGGGTACTTTTACAGATTTAAAAAATTTAGAAATAGCAAAAGTAGTTCCAATATTTAAGAGTGATGATTAGAAACTATAGGCCCATATCAATTCTCTCGGTTTTTGCATAGGTGTTCGAATCTTTAGTTTGTCCAATAATTCAAATTCATTTCAAACGTTTCGTTTCTGAGCATCAACATGGATTTTTGCCAGGTAGGTCTACCACCACTAATTTAGTTAGTTTCACTTCCTCATTATCAGAAGCTATTGACTCGCAGAAGCAGGTGGATACCATATATACGGATTTTAAAAGGCATTTGACAAAGTTCCACACGGAATACTTATTGAAAAATTATCATATTATGGGTTTTCAGACCCGATGCTAAAATGGCTTTCATCATACTTACACAACCATTCTTTTTACGTAGTTGTTAATGGGTTTAGCTCTTCAACCAATCTGGTAACGTCAGGTTTACCTCAGGGCTCGCATCTTGGCCCAATTTTGTTTAATATATTTGTAAACGACATTGTTTCTTGTTTTGTAAACTCCACACCATACTTATATGCCGACGATTTGAAAATAACGAGAACAATTTGTTCACCAATTGATTCGATTTTATTACAGAACGATCTAGATAAACTAACCAATTGGTGTAAATCTAATGGTATGCAACTCAACTGCAGTAAATGTCTTCATATTAAATTTACTAGAAAAAATAATATTACCCCAAAGACATATAAATTGTACGGTAATAGTCTTAAGGAAGTTGAGCTCGTGAAAGACTTGGGTGTTATGCTTGATAAAAAATTGACTTATCTTTACCACATAGAAAGTGTAATAAACAAAGCTACTAAATTGTTAGGTTTTATTATGCGACAAGGTCGAACTTTTAAAGAAGCTAAAACAAAAAACTCTCTTTACAACAGCCTTGTCCACAGTCACTTAGAGTACTGTAGTGTCGTATGACGTCCACATTATTCTACACACCACTTAAGACGAGCGTGTACAGAAAATATTCATGTGGCATTTATCATACTCAGCGAAGATTAACAAAACGGTGGTGTCCTATAAAAAAAGGCTAAAATACTTTAACATCATGACTTTGACCAAAGAAGAGAATTGTTAGATTTAATGTTTTTATACAAATTACTAAGTAATAAGTTAGACTGCCCCAGTTTACTAAGTAAAATTAATTTTCGAGTACCACGCAGATATCGCGTACTGCTATTACTCAGGTCGTGCCTCCACGCACCAGGACGGTCTTTGGCGCCAACTCCACAATCCCTCGTTTATGTAAAATATATAATAAATTCAGTCAGTTAATGGACATCAACATTAATTCGCCTAACACCTTTCGTAAATTAATTATCAGCAACCTAAGCCAGTCATCCTGAGTGTGATTTTTTTTCTCATATTAATTATTACGTATATTTTCTTTTAATTTCTTATAATATATATTTCGTTGGGTTAGATTATGATAGTTGTTAAATTAAGATGTAATTTTAATTGAATTTTAATGACTCCACGCACCAGGACGGTCTTTGGCGCCAACTCCACAATCCCTCGTTTATGTAAAATATATAATAAATTCAGTCAGTTAATGGACATCAACATTAATTCGCCTAACACCTTTCGTAAATTAATTATCAGCAACCTAAGCCAGTCATCCTGAGTGTGATTTTTTTTCTCATATTAATTATTACGTATATTTTCTTTTAATTTCTTATAATATATATTTCGTTGGGTTAGATTATGATAGTTGTTAAATTAAGATGTAATTTTAATTGAATTTTAATGACTCCACGCACCAGGACGGTCTTTGGCGCCAACTCCACAATCCCTCGTTTATGTAAAATATATAATAAATTCAGTCAGTTAATGGACATCAACATTAATTCGCCTAACACCTTTCGTAAATTAATTATCAGCAACCTAAGCCAGTCATCCTGAGTGTGATTTTTTTTCTCATATTAATTATTACGTATATTTTCTTTTAATTTCTTATAATATATATTTCGTTGGGTTAGATTATGATAGTTGTTAAATTAAGATGTAATTTTAATTGAAAGACTAATTATTACTTTGATTAAATCTCTTTTGTTGTTTAAATTGATAAGGTTTTACAGGTTTTTACCAATATTACTATTGTGTTTTTTTGTTTGTTACTGATTTTGTTTTTTTTTTCTGTTATTAACTTATTTCAGTCCGACATCTGGCCCATACTTTTATACGGATGTGAAGCGTAGACATTTAAAGAGGACCTCCGAAAACGTATAGAAGCTTTCGAGATGTGGGCATACAGACGAATGTTGGGCATTAGCTGGACTCACAGAATAACGAATGTAGAAGTTCTGCGACGAGTCGACCAAAAGCGTGAACTTATCCAGACCGTCAAAATGAGAAAAGTCGCATAGTTAGGGCACGTGCTCGGGCACGAGAGGTACGGACTCCTAAAACTCATTGTGATGGGAAAAGTTGCCGGAAAAAGAGGC